GGCCACACCGCAATCCCTTCTCCTCCATTCTCCTCTCGGGATCTTGGGCACGCACGCACACGCGCCCGGCGTGAGTTTTAAGCCACCGGGTCCGGGACACGAACTGCGGTCGACTACGTGGGAGTCCAGTGACATAGCCATTACACCAACTGCTGGTTCCCTTTAAAAAGATTTTTTAAATTATTTTACTTTATTTATCTTAATTTGACTAGAGAGGGTCAGAGAGAGAGAAAGTGAGAAAGCAAGCTGTCAGGTCCAGGACTCGAGAAATAGCCATGTAGGAGTCCACACCCTTAACCACCATGCCACCTGCCGGTCCCTAAATAGATTTTTTTTTTTTTTTTAGAGAAATCTATTCAACAGAACTCTTAGTAACTCCAATTTATTAATTTATTTATTTAACTTTCTTAAAATTTATTAATTTGCATTTAAAATGATCTGCTGACAAAAATTCACTGGAAATAATTTGAACAGGTGAGAAAATACAGTCAATGCTACTGACATGCCAGCAAAATCCAGCACATAGCTTTATTTGACATAACCAAGTATGTTAGATGCTGTCGCGCATGTGAACACTGACTGCTCCTTACTTTTCTAATCACACGGTAATATAATTAACAGTATTCAATTGCTTCTGTTCCTTCCTGAATATATAAAAATTAAAATACCAATTAAAAAATAATATATCTTCTCTTTACATGTTTCTTACAGGTACAATTTCAATATTTTCATTGAATAGTGGTGTGGTTTAGAGGTTTGGTTTTTTTTTTTTCTTTTACAAGTTAAACAACAATCACCCAAAGGGAACTGATAGTCTATAGGCTCATAGTGCAAATAAAGAGTTTGGGAATGTAGCAACGGACATTTCTAAAATACAAAACAGAAAACTCTTAGAAGGTACATGCAAGAAGCTCTACTAAGCATATGGCCACAGAAGTAGACCGTTTGATCACTTTACTGGCAATGTCAATGGGACTCCAGAAGTTTCTGAACTCAAGTTGAACTCTCATCTTAGGCTTTGTACTTTGCTTTTCCAGTTTCACTAATGACACAGACATGATTCAAGTCCCTGAAGTATTCATTATAGTCAAGGGCATATCCTACAACAGACTTGTCTAGAATTGCAAATCCAACAAAGTCTGGTCTATAGCCAACACTTCGAGGGGTCCTTTCCACCAGCAAGCTTGCAACCTTGACCATCTTTAGTAACTCCAATTTATATTTCTCTTATCTAATATAAAATTCCAACAAGACTCTAACCTAGGAATAAAAAACAAGATCTCAGAATTTAAGATCATGAGATAGGCTAAATCGCACATTTTTTTGGATCAAAAAACTAATACTAAAATACCCCAAAACAATAAAAAAACAACAACACACACACACAACCAGCTTTTACATTGCACATTTCCAAAAAGGCATTAAGCAATCATGTCATTAGTTTATTTCCAAACATATCTGCCATACTATGTGAGTTGAAGAATTTAATTCATTTTTCAAAGAGCTTGTACCTCTAAAAATGCTCTTTAAGTCTGTTTCAAGAGTGAATTAAAACCTCCTTATATCTTTTTTTCTTTTTTGGAGAGGTTTTTGTTACAGGGTGCGTGCACTCGCCAGGAAGATAGACAAAAAGCGAGAAATCACCCCCAGGGGGGATGGCCATGCCTCAGTCCCTTCTCCTCCATTCTTCTCTTGGAATCTTGGGCATGCGCGCACATGTGCCCAGCGTGAGTTTAAGCCACCCGGTCTGGGACTCGAACCGCGGTCGACTACATGGGAGTCCACTGACACAGCCATTATGCTAACTGCTGTTCCCAAAACCTTATAACTTAAGCAGTTAGTATCTTACTGTAACCAAAGGTACAGCAAATTGGATCTAAAGTATAAAGTTATCATAATTAGTAACAACTTGTTTTCTACTGAAAATTGCAAATTCTTTCCTTGGCTCTTATAATGGCTTTCTGTGGAACAGAGGTGGTGAATCTATAGAAGCCCTGTCCTGCCATGGCACTTGTTGGTAGCTCTGCTCCAAGAGCAGAGACCAAAGATGGAAGAAATGGTAGCACCACACCAGGTCCCTTTTCTATGCCTTGTTTCCTGTGTGCAAAGACTGAAATGCCCAGCTAGTATTTTTTCAGAGTGAATTTTTTTTTTAATTTAAAAAAAACTATAGATTGGAGCCAACAGGTCACATGGTTAATGCTTTGGACTCCCACATGGTCGACCGCAGTTCAAGTTCCAGATCTGGCAGCTTGAAAATTGCACTGGGTGTATGTATGTGTGCATGTGGGCTCTCATTTGTTTGTTCGTTTATTTATTGATTGTTTTTACCACAGGGTGTGTGAGCTCACAAGAGAGAGACAGGAAGGAAGAGGAAAAGTGAAAAAATCACCCCCTCCCTCCCAGAGGGAGTGGGCACACCCCAATCCATTCTACTCCTGGGATTTTGGGCAAACGTACACATGTGCCCAGCATGATTTTCAGGTAGCCAGGTCTGGGACTCAAACTGCGATCAGCCATGTGGGAGTCCAGTGCCTTAACCACCACACCACCTGCTAGCTCCTCTATATCTCTCTCTGTCTCTGTTTAGCACTCCCTCTGGCAAAAGCCTTAAAATAAATAAATAAATTACAGGTTAACTGAAGAATTGCAGAGGTTTCAAATAATTTTTTTTTTTGAGCGATATAAAAGTTGCCAAAGCGATGCCTCATTATTCCCAAATATTTCCTACAAAGATTTTTCTCTTATGTAACAAAAAGGCAGTCATCAAAACCAAGAAATTGACATTGATAATCCTCAGACCCCAGTGTTTTTTTTAGATCAGTTGCACTAGTAACTTAACTTAGAGCAAAAGGATCCAGGTGAGAATCACACATTATATTTAATTGTCATGTTGTTTTCATCTCATTTAATCAGGAACATTTCTCATTCTTCCTTAAAATTCATCATCTGAACACTTTTGCCGATTACAGTCCAGTTATTCAATAGCGTTTCTCCACTCATGTTTGCCAGAGTTTCCTTAGGAGTGAATTCAGGCTATGCAGGAGTGCCAGGAAGCAAGGCTGCATTCTCATTGCACCTGTCTGGAGGCATGTGATTTCAGTGTGTTCCTTTACAGTGATGACACTTTGATCACTTCATTTAGGGAGTGTTTGTCATGCTTTTCCTTTATAAAATAACTTTCCTTCTTTGTAATTAAATAATATTGTGTAGAGAAGTTCTCTGACACTATAAAATCCTATTCTTCACTGAACTTTATGTAATTTATGTATAGTAGCATGGGCTCATAGTTTTCTATCTGTTACTATCATTATTTACTTTGATTTTCCTGTTGTCCCTTATTTAGGACACGTTTCAGGTTGGCTTCTGAGTATTTTTGACATGTCCCCAAAAGATTTTGACCTCTTTTTAAAGATTATTATGTATCTATTTAATTTGTTATTATTTTAATTTGCCATAGGGCACATATACACACGAGAGAGAGCTGAAGTGAGAAAGCATGCCTCCAGGTCTGGGGATAGAACACTAGTTGGCCATGTGGGAGTCTAGCACCTTAACCATCATTCCACCTGCTGGTCCCTTTGACTTCTTTTTTTGCTCTCTAGGACAAGAAATTCTAGGATCATCTTGTATTTTTCTGGTCCCATCCCTGAAATCAGCCATTTCTCTGAGGAGCTTTGGTACTTTATTCTGAGAGGAGAATGGAAGAGAAGGTATTGCAGCATGGCAATCCCCCGGGGGAGACGATTTCTCACTTTCCCTCTCTCTCTCTGGTGAGGGCATGCATGCCCTAAAAAAATTAAAAAAAAAAAAAAAAAAAGAAAAAGTTTTAGGACAGTTGGCCAAGTATGTATTTGCAGATGCTTTCAGTATTTAAGACACATTCACTGTGCTTACTAACAGTCAAATTTGGGGGCATTATTAAGTTTGCAGCCTTTATTCTTTGGAAGGTAGAAGTGGATGTGGATGGGGTACAGCATGCTCAAGTGGCAGAAACCATTTCCACCTGTTTGGCTTTGGCCCTGGTTACCTAGGCATATCCCTGTGCTTTCACTAGTGTTTTTAAGTTCCTACTGTTTCAGATTAAGTAAAGGTGAGTGGCCTCTATATTCTACCACACAGTCAATACGAAAGTTAGTATTTTAAATACAGAAAATACACAAGACTTCATAGAAAAAATTAGTAACTTTCTCCCTCTTGCTTATTACTCAAGTGTCCTAAATCATTCTGTGAAGTATGTGTCAGTGCTTTGAAATAGTCTTCACTGGGCCAGCAGGTGGTGTCGTGGTTAAGGTGCTGGGTTCCCTCATAGCCAACCATGGCTGAGTCTCAGACCTGGTGGCTTGCTTTCTCATTTTCTCTGTCTCTGGTGAGCACATGTACCCTATAGCAAACCTAAAAAATAATAAAGAACTTAAAAAATATAGTCTTTACCACTCTTCTTACTGCTTTTCCTCTCAGGTTCAAGTGTTTATTCCTGTATATATTAATGAGGGGACCAGCAAGTTAGCATAATGGCTATGTTGCTGGACTCCCATGTAGTTGACCATGGTTCATGTCCTGGACCTGGTGGCTTAAAACTCACGCCGGGCACTTGTGTGTGCGTGCTCAAGATCCCAAGAGGAAAATGGAGGAGAAAGGATTGTGGCATGGCCATCCCCTCCGGGGGGTGATTTCTTGCTTTCTGTCTCTGTCTTAACCAAAATCCAAAAAGGAGAAGTGAGAGAGAAGAGACTGTGGTGCAGCCATCCCCCATGGGAGTGTTTTCCCACACACCCCCCATCTCTCTCCCACGAGCACATGCACCCTCTACCAAATATATATACTTAAAAAGGGAGGCTGTAGTAGGACATGTGTATCACGACGCTATTCTGATGACGTTTGAAAACATGAGACAGAGCACTATATGTCACTAATGGCTGCATATGAAGGCACTTCAAAAAGTTAGATAAATTGAATTAAAATATGAGTTTACTGGGGCCAGCAGGTGGTGTGGTGATTGAGGGCACTGGACTCCCACATGGCCGACCACGGTTCAAGTCCTGGACCTGGCGGCTTGCTTTCTTACCTTCCCTCTCTCTCTCTCTTTTTCCCTCCCTTACTCCCCCTCTCTGGTCAAAATTTTAAAAATAAATAAAATAAATAAATTAGGTTAAATTAAAAAAATAAAAAAGAATGAGGACCAACTAGTGGCATGCTGTGTAAAGCAGCTGGATCCTACTTGGCTATCTACAAGTACTGGACTCAGCGACTTGGGAAAAACACACCAAGTGCTTTTTGTTTTTTTAAAGAATTATTTTATTAAATTTTTTTTTTTTTCACATGAGTTTTGCCAGAGAAAGAGAAGGAAAGTAAGAAAGCAAATCACCCGTCTTAACCTTGAACCATGATAGGCCATGTGGGAATTTCAGCGTCTTAACCACAACGCCACCTGCTGGCCCAACATACCAAGTGCTTTTGCTTGCGTGCCCAAAATTCTGAAAGGAGGGATAAATGGAGATAAAGTGTGACCATTCCCCATTAGAAGGTACTTTCTACCTTCCCCCTTTTTCTCTCCCCCTCTTCTTCTCTGGCAAGCACGTGTGCCTTCTAGAAAATTAAAAACAACAAAAAATTCACAGTGAGTGCAAGTTTTAGCTTGTGATGAGATCAAGTTTTACAGATTTAATGTGCTTGCGGTGTTGTTTTTCTTAACGTGAACACTCTCTGAAATGGGCAGGTAAGCCCTCTGAGCTGTCTCCTCTTGTCTGTGCAAAATACGGCTGGGTCACGGTGGAGTGTGACGTGCTCCAGTGCTCCAGCTGTCATGCTCTTCTCTGTGCAAGTTTGCAGCCAGCTTTTGACTTTGACAGATGTAAGTAGAAGGTACAAATTACCACTTTCTCCACATTCAAAGATAAACGAGACTCATTTTGCTGAAATACCAGTCACTTCTGTTTGAGCAAAGAATGTATACTACTACTTTGGACTTCAAAAAGTTTGCGAGAAAATGTACAAATTTAGGGCAAACCCTGTAGTCTAGTGGTTAATAGAGCCGGATCCTACATACCACCTGTAGTTCAAATCCTGGCCTCGGTGACTTGAGAAACACACGAGGCATGTATGCATGTGTACCCAAACTCTTGATAGAATAAGAAAATGGAGAGGGGATCTTCTATATGATCACACCCTACTGGAGGGTGCTTTCTCCCTCTCTGTCTTTCTGGCAGACCTACAGCCTACCATCTGGCCCCCCAAAAAAGTATGAGTTATTTTGATGTAAAAATCTGTGCATAGTTTGTTCATAATGCATTTTTATAGCTGTTCATAAACTTTTTAAAGACTCCTCATATACGTAGCAAGGGGAATTTGCGGTTGCCTTCATCCTAATTACTAGCTTCAATCATTAGTTGTTTTGTTTTGTTTTTTTAATTTGCCAGAGGGCATGTGTGCTTGCCAGAAAGAGATGGAGAGGGGGAAAGAACTCCCCCATGCTCATGCAGTAATCACTTCTCCATTTCTCCTTTCTTTGATGATTTTAAGCGATTACATGTACACCCATACACCCAGCATGTTTTTTCAAGCCTCTGGGTATAGACTCAGATTATATAGTTGGCCATGCGGGATCCAGCTGCCTTAACTACCAGGCCACATGCAGTCTCTCATTACTTTCCTTTAAAAACTAAGCCACTTTCGAGTGGACTTGACTTTATGTATCCTGGGTATCTTATAGCAGCATGTTTACTTAATTTTGTTCCAAGATTTATACTTCGAGGAAGAGAGATGGAAGAGTATTGTGAAGGCTCACACTTTAGAATGTCCTGCCTTTACCCAGTCTGTCCTTTGTTGATCTTAGGTTATCAGGTCAGAGGAGGATATTAGGATAATGTTAATATTTTCATGTTCTTTTAATTCTCTTAGTTATTTTTTAGTCGAACCTGTACTCTTTTTATTTTAATGTTTTTATTTAATTCCATTTGTTATTTTTTAATTTGAGGAGAGAGAGAGAGAGAGAGAAAGAAAGGGAAAGGAAAAGTAAGTAAGCAAACCACCAGGTCTAGGACTTGAACCATGGTCAGCTACGTGGGAATCCAGTGCCTTTAACCACCATACCACCTGCCAGCCCTGAATCTGTACTCTGAAAGTCTCTTGGCCATTGGATCTGGAATTTTTTTTTTTTAAGGCATTGCTATCTGTGGATTTCAGATAAGGAGCGATGTGCAGAGCTGAAGAAAGCCTTGTGTACTGCCCACGAGAAGTTCTGCTTCTGGCCAGACAGCCCCTCTCCAGGTACTTACTCCTGAGAATTCCCATTTACCATCTTCCCTTGGCTATCACATTTCTAATATTGTCTCTCTCTCTATTTTTTAATGTGAAAACCTCGTCTTTGGAGTTGTTGTTTGTCTTTTTCCCAGTTTGCTATAGTGCACATGCACTTGCCAGAAAGAGACAAAGAGAGGGAAAGTGAGAAATTGCCCCCAGGAGGCATGGCCATGCCACAGTCCCTTCCTCATTTTCCTCTCAGGATTTTGGGGATGCATGCTCATGTGCCCGCCATGTCTTTCAGGCCATATGGCCTGGGACGTGAACCGCACAGCCAGCCACGCAGGATCCAGCCACGCTAGCTATCATGGTGTACTGGCCCTAAATTTTTCTTTTTCCTTTATTTCTATTTGTACTTTTCACAAAAAGCTTATATTCACTTATGTTGTTACTTAATTTTATTAAATGCATTTGATATGGCAAAGTTTTAATCATGTATACATTATCCCATTTAATCCTCACAGGGAGGTAAATTTTATCAACCAGTTTTCCTAGGTAAGGAAACCAAGCATCAAAAGTCTTAAAGTAGAGAGAAGCTGTCAGTATGGTGTCATCCATTCCAGGCCTTCTGCTTTGCCCAGTGTATGGAGCAGCTCCATGTTCTGCCTGGAACTCATTGGAAGTACATTAATGGTGGCCATTAACCAGGTTCAGTCGCTTAAAAAAGGCTAAGCAGTCCCCAAATGGTAGGATTACAGACCTCTAGTTTATTACAGTAAATCAGTGCACGATAACAGCGCTGAAATACGGATATGATCACAGCCAGAGGTTGCCCAGCTAGGGGTCTGGAGAGGTCAGACCAAGCTCCTGCTTCCTCCGTCTGTAAAGGCCATGGCAGGACACTCTCCCTTGGATCACAAGCCACTGCTGTGTGCACAGAACACTGTAGAAGAGGAGAGCCCAACATGAAGTTGGACCTGGGATTTTTCTAATATTTTGTTGATCAGTAGACATATTCCTGCTAATATCTTCAATAGCAGAGCCCTCTGGTGGGGAATCTCATCAAGTCTAGGTACAGAATTCTTCAGACCCATGGTTACACAGCAACTCTGTTCATCCCCATACCACATGCCTTGACCAGGCTTCAGGGCTGTGCACTTATATTTCTTATCTCGATAGGACAGCTTGGGCAAATTCCGGGGTCATGATGGTAAGGAACCTCCCATGAAAGACTGCCAAGGGGAAAACATTGAAAGTGACCATAGATTGCTATCAATCGCTGATAAATGAAGGGGTCATAGAAAAAGGGATTATTGTATAAAACTGGGCCAACTGCAGTTTGAATCTGAGCCCCAGCAGCTTAAAAAGCATATCAGGCCCTTGCACGTGCATGCTCAAACTCTTAACATGAGGGAGGAGTGGAGGGAAGAAGATTGCACGTGACCAACCATCGGATTCTCTCTCTCTTAATTAGAGAATTGGAAATGGGGGGGGGGGAATGTCAATATTTTCTTTTTCTATTTTATCTTAATTTTAAAATTAATATTGCTTTTTAAATTTTATTCGTTTATTTTTAAAATTTAGAGACAAAGAGAGGGAAAGTGAGAAATTGCCCCGCCCCCAAGTCCACAGGGGTGGGGGGTACTGAGAAAGTAAGCCACCAGGTTCCAGGACTCGAACCATTGTTGGCTATGTGGGAGTCCAGTGCCCCAACCACCATGCCATCTGTTGGCCCTCTCAGTAGTTTTGTTTTGTTTTAAGGAAGTATTTTAATTTAATTTATTTATTCATGTATTTTAATTTCACCAGGGGTGGGGGGTACTGAGAAAGTAAGCCACCAGGTTCCAGGACTCGAACCATTGTTGGCTATGTGGGATGTCCAGGACTTTAACCACACCACCTGCTGGTCCCCCTGTCAGTGGTTTTTTTGGAGAGGTTTTTGCTATAGGGCACGTACACTCACCAGAAAAACAGAGACAGAGAGACAGAAAGTGAGAAATCACCACCCAGGGGGGATGGCCACACTGCAATCCCTTCTCCATTCTCCTCAGGATCTTGGGCATGCATGCACACATGCCCGGCGTGAGTTTAAGCCACCAGGTCCAGGACTCGAACTGTGGTCGACTACATTGGAGTCCAGCAACATAGCCATTACGCCAGCTGCTGGCCCCAAGTTTTTTTTTTTTTAACACATTAGAAAAAATGATAGTCTCGGGGACCAGCAGGTGGCGTGATGGTTAAGGTGCTGGACACTCCCACATGGCTGACCATGGTTTGAGTCCCAGACCTGGTGGCTTGCTTTCTCACTTTCCCTCTCTTTCTCTCTCTGTTCAAATGAAAATAAATGAATAAATAAATTAAATTAAATTGAATAATTAAAAAAAAAAAGAAAAGAAAAATGATAGTCTGGCCACTGTCTACATTTCAGCCTTGTCTCCTGCTACATTACATATGCCACAGCATACTATGTTTCTTCTCAGTGAAACTATTTAGAATTCCCCAAACGTCACATTCTTTGACCCTTTGTGTTTATGACCTGTTGTTGTTGGTCTTTCGAATTTAGCTTAGACCTGACTACCACAGAGAAGCCTTTCCCAGGAACCACTCTGCCCTTATCAACTCTAATTAATGTCGGGAAGCTTTTGGGAAGAATTGAAGGGAAAGGGGGAGAAGGGATGAAGGAAGTCAGTAAGAAGTAACAAAACAGCTTAGCCAGTAAGAACGTGTGATATATCTTATAACAGAAAGTCCCAAGGCAGGGTTGCTAAGATGGGTTAATTTTTTAGCCCAGTGATATCACCAAGAACCCAGTTCCTTCAAGAATCATGTTCTCTTGTTCTAAAGCTGGTTTCTCTCCAGGCTGCATGTGCAGGCCCCATCCAGGAAGCTGCCAGGAAAGTCATGGCACATTTTTCTATGCAAAAAGGCATCATAACTTTCCCCAATGACCCAATAGAAACCACACTGAATCAGCTTCAATAAAAATGAAAATACATTTGGAAGGAAGAAATTTCATAGAGAAAATGAAGAGGGACATGCCATCCTAATCTGAGCATCTAAAAAGCAAGGAGCTGGGACCAGCAGATGGCGTGGTGGTTAAGGTGCTGGACACTCCCACATGCCACCACAGTTTCCAAGACTTTCCCCCAGCAGACTTCCTCTCCCATCTCAGTGGCCACACCAGGGGTAGATGCCCATGACTTACTTTTGTTTTTGTTTTTTTTTTAGTTTATTTATTTCTTCATGGGACAAGGACAGAGACAGACACTCCCAACAGGGTCTTCACACCACAATGCACCTCCTGTTTCAGTCAGCCTGGATCACAGGCAGCACGCACACCTGGCCTCTTAGGGAAGTCCTGGGACATGAACCAAGCACCTTTCACACGTGTGGGTCTAGTTGTGTTATTGGTGATCCACCTCCTGATCCCAAAGACCCATTACTAAATGTGTCACAGCTAAGGGGAATGTGTTTGTTGAGGTTAGTGAAGACAAATCAGGACTTACGAAGTCGCTAGGGGGAAGATAGATACCAACCAAAGTCTCACTTCTGCCAGGAAGACGGGAGCAGGAGGGACCTGTAGTGTGGAAGCCAGCAGTGTCTGCCTCATCTCTCCTGTGAGCTCCCGCGATGGTCTCTCTTTGCTGTTGTGCCAGTACTTACCACGTTGATAGGCGATTGCTTGTTGCCTCCCGCATTAGATTGTGTGTAACATTAAGGAGATTTGTTGAATGTGTCTTTCATCTTTGTAGCCTTATAGTGGTTGTTAAGCAACTGAAAGATCATTTTTTTCTTAAAGAATTATTTGATTTAACTTTATTTATTTTAATGTGACTACAGAGGGACAGAATGAGAGAGAGAAAAAAGTGAGAAAGCAAGCCACCAGGCCCGGGATCCTTAACCTCCATGCCACCTGCTGGCCCCCTGAACGTTCATTTGAGGCTCAGAAAAGACCACTGAGTCTAGTGGCTCTTGCTTTTTATTTATTTATTTTTGTAAATAATTATTTTAAAATTTAGTTTATTAATTCATTTATTTTAATTTGAACAGAGAGACACACAAACACACACACACACACACACAGAGAGAGAGAGAGAAAGAAAGTGAGAAAGCAAGCCACCAAGTCCAGGACTCCAACTGTGGTGGCATGTGGGAGTGTCCAGTACCCTAACCACCACGCCATCTGCTGGTCCCAGCTCCTTGCTTTTTAGATGCTCAGATTAGGATGGCATGTCCCTCTTCATTTTCTCTATGAAATCTCTTCCTTCCAAATGTATTTTCATTTTTATTGAAGCTGATTCAGTGTGGTTTCTATTGGGTCATTAGGGAAAGTCATGATGCCTTTTTGCATAGAAAAATGTGCCATGACTTTCCCGATGACCTAATACTTATCGTTCTAGACCTAGTAAACTGACCTATTTAAAAAGGAACTTAGCAAGGCCTTTTGCTTTACCATTTGCATTTGCAGTCAGTATACCAAATACCCGAGCTAAATTGGGTAACACCAAAGATAGTTGGAGTATATAATCAATTAATTTCCATGCTAGTTGATTTTCTAACAGATTCTTTTCCAGTTTAGTTATAACCAGTATACTTCCTAATTTTATACTTTATATACCCTAATGCCAGTTTTGCTTCATGTTATAATGTAAGCCTTTTTGTATGTTTTGTAGAAAAACTTGAGGAACATGTGGTTTGTGTCACTCTTAGCTCACAATAAGTTATCCATGATTTGATAGTTATAAAGTGTTGGGTCTTAGGCCAGCCCCATATCTCAGCGAGCAGTTAAGGGAGCCGGTCCCCATGTGGCCGCATGGCTTTATCCTGGCCCTGGCAGCTTGAATAACACACTGAGCATGTATGTGCCAAAATCCTAACAGGAAGGAAGCATAGAGGAAAGGGGATTGCAGAGTGAGCAGGCCCCCTTGGGAGTGCTTGCTTGCTTTCTCTAGCGAGCACATACACCTTCTGGCAATTAAAAAACCCTGCCACCTATTCAAGCTGGCACCACCAGTAACTCTGTTGGTTTTTCCCCTCCATTTTCAGCAAATTTTTTTTTTTCTTGAGAGGTTTTTGCTATAGGACACGTGCCCTTGCCAGAAAGAGAGAGACAGAGAGAAAGAAAGCGAGAAATCGCCCCCCCCCGGGGGGGGATAGCCATGCTGCAATACCTTCCCTTCTGTTCTTTTTTGGGATCTTGGGCACACTTGGGCACACACACACGCACCCAGCATGAGTTTTAAGCCACTAGCTCCAGGACTCCAACCATGGTCAACTGTGTGGGAGTCCAGCAACATAGCCATTACGCCAACTGCTGGTCCCCCTTTTCAGCAATTTTAAATATACATTAAACTGCAGAGAACAGTATAATGAAACCCCATCTGCCCATTACCCTACTTCAGCAATTATCAGCTTATGCTGGTCATATTTCTTCTGTGTTCCTAACACCTACTTGCTCCTCTGCATTGTTTTAAAGTTCAATTCCAGACCTCATTTCATCTATAAATATTTCAAGATATGAAAGATATAGACTGCACATTTTTTAAAAGGATTACTTATTTAATTTTATTTATTATTATTTTTTAATTTGCTAGAGGGCATATGTGTTCACCAGGGAAAGATGGGGGAGGGCTGCAGAGTGAGAAATGCAAGCTGCCAAGTCCAGGACTCGAACCATGGTTGGCCGCGTGGGAGTTCAGTGCCTTAACCACAGTGCTACCTGCTGGCTCCTGGACTGTACTTTTAAAACATAATCACAGTAGTAATAGCCTCATCAAGACAAAAATCCGCAATGTTTTAATATCAGATGTCATCAGTTTTACATTTCCCCAGTTCTGTCCATGCTTTATATATATGTGTGTGTATATATGTACACACACACACACATATGTATATATATACATATATTTATATATTAACCATTTGTACCAATACAATCTTTGAATTTACTTTCCACAGATCGATTTGGGATGTTGCCATTGGACGAGCCTGCTATTCTTGTTAGTGAATTCCTAGATCGTTTTCAAAGCCTTTGTCACTTAGACCTCCAACTTCCCTCCCTGAGGCCAGAGGACTTGAAAAGTATGGTGAGTTTTTCTTGGCTGGGCTACAGTGGCCTCCAGTTGTCACAAGCATTATGCACAAAGGATATATTTTAATGGCAAGAGGATGCAGATTGTTAGGAACAGAACTTCTGTTTTTTAACTCATCTTTTCTTTAAGAGGGTAATTTTTGCTATAGGGCTCGCCAGATATACAGAGAGAGACAGAAAGCAAGAAATCAACCCCCGGGGAAATGGCCACACTGCAATCCCTTCTCACTCTCCTCTTGGGATTTTGGGCACACACGCACCTAATATGAATTTTAAATCGCTGGGTCTGGGACTCGAACCATGATAGACTACATGGGAGTCCAGTGACATAACCATGATGCCATCTGCTGGTCCCTCAACTCACCTTTTTCAGTCTCTACCGGAAAGGCTACTCTTGAGGGTTCCATTTAAATATTTAAGTATGATTCCTTAATGGCATAAGTTCAATTTTATCTTGATTTATTACTTTTTTTTTTTTGGAGAGATTTTCGCTATAGGGCGTGTGCGCTCGCCAGACAGACAGAGAGAGACATAGAGACAGAAAGCGAGAAATCACCCCCCAGGGGGGATGGTCACGCCGCAATCCCTTCTCCTCCATTCTCCTCTCGGAATCTTGGGCACGCATGCACACGCGCCCAGCGTGAGTTTTAAGCCACCGGGTCCGGGACGCGAACCGCGGTCGACTACGTGGGAGGTCAGCGACATAGCCATTACGCTAACTGCTGGTTCCCTTGTTTTTGTTTTTTTGCTTGTTTTCTTAGTTTGTGCTATAGAGTATGTACACTCATCAGAGAAAGAGAGAGTACTCTCAACAAGCAATGGTCATGTCATAGTCCCTTCTCCATTTCTCCACCCTATCAGAATTTTGGACATGTACACACAAGTGCTAAGCATGTTTTTCAAGCCACTGAGGTTGGAATTTAAACCACACAGTCAGCCATGTGGGATTTAGCTGCCTTAACTGTGAGGCTATGGAGCCAGCTTCCCATCTGTATTTTGAAACTGTATAATTACTGACCCATTTCATCACCATGGGGGTGAAGATAAGCTTTACTATACGAAATAGCATCTGATTATTCTACCTCTTCAGGTTGAGGTGCTGTTGTGGGTTTTAATCATCAAACTGTTAGCCTCAGGTGCCTATTAAAAATCTCACTCTGGGGACCAGCAGTTGGCGTAATAGTCCTACGTTGCAGGACTCCTATGTAGTCGACCGCAGTTCGAGTCCCAGACCTCATGGCTTAAACTCACACCAGCTGTGTATGCGTGCGTGCCCAAGATCCCGAGAGGACAATGGAGGAGAGGGGATTGCGGCATGGCCATCCCCTCAGGGAGTTATTTCTTGCTTTCTATCTCTCTGTCTCTGGTGAGCGCATGCGCCCTATAGCAAAAACCTCTCAAAAAAAAAAAAAATCTCACCCTGTCCCTGCCAAGGAAATTTTTTTCACCCTTTTATAATAGTTTTTTATTATTCTTAGAACAGAAATAAAGACTGATCAGCCTTGTTGTTTTGTCAAAAAGTAAGTTCATTGTCAGAACAAGACAAAAACAATGACCTGTTTTCAGGCCTGCCTCATGGTCTAGTGGTTAAGGGAGGTGGCTCCCACATGGTTCAGACCCCTTGAAAAATACACTAGGCACATCTGTAGTGTGCCCAAAATTCCAAAAAGAGGGACCAGCAAGTGATTAAAGGCACTGGACTCCCACATGGCCAGCCGTGGTTCATGTCCTGGACCTGGTGGCTTACTTTCTTGCTCTCTTTTTCTCTGATAAAACTGGAAAATAATAATAATCAATAAAGTCAAATAAAATAACTCTTTAAAAAAATTCCACGAAGTTGGAAAAATGGAGGGGAAAAAATTGCAACATGACCATACCCCGCTGGTGGGAGCTTTCTCTCTCTCTTGCTGCTTGCTGTCTCTTTGTGGTAAACACATGTCTCTGGCAAATTAAAAACAAACAAAAAAACCCCACATGTTTTTATTATTTGGGTTTGAGGTTTATAAGTTTCAGAGAAAATCTGCAACTGGTAAGTTTAAAACAGTTTAGTGCTAAAATGAGGTTTGGTAGTTCCAGGAAGACGGCCACCTTTCTTTTCTCAGTCATCATTCAGAAAACTTCTTTGTGACACCTTAGCCCTGTCCTAGAAATAAGGTTCTGTGAAGAGAACTGTCTTTATTCAATCATTTCTTTCCTGATTTTTGCCTTAAACCATCTAGGGACATCATTATATATAAATTTTTTTTGAGAGAGAGAGTTTTGTTTTGTTTTTTTTTTTTGCTATAGGGTGTATGCACACACCAGAGACAGAGAGACAGAAAACGAGAAATCACCCTCCAGGGGGAATTGCCACACCCTGGTCCCTTCTCCATTCTCCTCTCAGGATCATGGGCACTCATACACACATGCCCAGCATAAGTTTGAGGCCACCGGGTCTGGGACTTGAATTATAGTTTACTATGTAGGAATCCAGCAACGTAACCATGACACCATCTATTGGTACCCAAATTTTTTGTTTTTATGGTAGTTGAAACTTGAAGTGTTTTACTTGATTCCTTCCATAGTGTTTGACAGAAGAAAAGATCAGTCTTCTACTACACCTGCTGGAAGATGAACTCAGTCGCCGAACTGATGAGAGAAAACCTACAACTAAATTAGGCTCAGACATCCAAGTCCACGTCACTGCCTGTATTCTGTCTGTGTGTGGCTGGGCGTGCAGGTTAGTCATTTTGCCTGCACACGTGAACCATGACAACAGTTTACACCCTTATGCATTAGTCACTAATAGTATTTGGGAACCACATGGCATTTCCTGTGAGAAAAACGGAGATGAAAAGAAGCTTAGGAGTAATGTGAGGTGATGCGCCAGGTGGGGGTGGGGGGTGGATAGTAAGAATTAGTAACAAAAATGAGTAACCTGAGTTAGAACTTAGGATTTCTTGATGTTCACACCTGATCTGTTTCTCACTCTTTCACTTCCCAGATGTATTCTTATGAACTGAAGTTCCTCAAGTTTCTTTTACTTTAAAAAGGAAAAATAGAGCTCTTTTCTATTATTTTTTAAAAATTAATTATTTATTTATTTATTATGATTATTATTTTTCACAAAAGTTTTGCCAGAGAAAGACAGAGAGGGAGAGGGAGAAAGCAAGCTATGAAGTCTGGGGCTCAAACTATGGTTGGCCATGTGGGAATTCCAGTGTCTTAACCACCACGCCACCTGCTGGACCCATTCTCTTCTATTTTTCAAAAAGAAAAAATAGAAAGGAAGCTCCTCCCTACTTTTAGAAAGGAGAAAAATCAGTTTAATTGATTAAAACTCCTAAAGGAAACACCAGCTGGAGTCTTCCAGGCCCCTCTGTTGGTGTTTGCATTCCAGCTGCTTGATTTGGCATTGACTGTCTCTGAGACAGAAGACTGTCAGAACTAGACTTGATTTATTTTAAATATGCCTGTTTTGATATATTAAGGAATGTTTTTTATTTATAAGGAAAAACAAATTGTTTTTGTTTTTATATGCCAGAGGGCACATGCACTTGCCAGAGAGAGAAAGAGAGAGGGAGAAGGCACCCCAGCCCCCATAGTCACCCTACGATTTTGTCTCCATTTCTTCAACCTGTTGGGATTTGGGACATGCATGCACATGCACTTGGCATTTTTTTCTTAAGCTGCTGGGGCTGTGATTTGAGCCACATGGTCAGCCATGTGGGCTCCAACTGCCTTAACTACTGGGCCACAGAGTCAGCCCAGAAAGAAAAAGTTTCAAGAGGAACAGAAGTTTATAAAACATACTTTCCAGGGGTCAGCAGGTAGTATGGTGGTTAAGGTGCTGGACTCCCACATGGCTGACCACAGTGCAAGTCCCAGACCTGGCAACTTGAAAATCACACCAAGTGTGTGTGTAAATCTACCCAAAATCTCTAGAGGAGAATGGAGGAAAAGGAATTATGGAATAGCCATTCCCCCTGGGGTGAGGAGTGATTTCTCCCCTTTCCTTTCTCTATCTCTTTCTGTCTCTCACCAGCAAGTGCACATGCTCTATGGCAAAAAAAAAAATTTTTTTGAGAGGTTTTTGCTATAGGGCTTTGTGCGCTCGCCAGACAGACAGAGAGAGACATAGAGACAGAAAGCGAGAAATCACCCCCCGGGGGAGATGGCCACGCCGCAATCCCTTCTCCTCCATTATCCTCTCAGGATTTTGGGCATGCACGCACACGTGCCCAGCGTGAGTTTTAAGCCACCGGGTCTGGGACGCGAACCGCGGTCGACTACGTGGGAGTCCAGCGACATAGCCATTGCGCTAACTGCTGGTCCCCACAAAATTTTTAAAATAAAAAAAAATTAAAAACTGAAAAACCAGTCAATCAAAAAGAACCCCATACTGGGAACCAGTAGTTAGCGTAATGGCTATGTCGCTGGACTCCCACGTAGTCGACCGCGGTTCGTGTCCCGGACCCGGTGGCTTAAAACTCACGCCGGGTGCGTGTGCGTGCGTGCCCAAGATCCCGAGAGGAGAATGGAGGAGAAGGGATTGCGGCGTGACCATCCCCCCTGGGGGGTGATTTCTCGCTTTCTGTCTCTCTCTGTCTGTCTGGCGAGCGCACGCGCCCTACAGTGAAAATCTCTCAAAAAAAAAAAAAAAGAACCCCATACTTTATAAATAGTCTTGCCATAGAGAGTACACCAAGACCTCTAGATCTTTCTATAGGAAATATGAGAGAGATAATGAGGCTGGGGTCCTGACATTAGAGATCAGGGGCTCAGAGGTCTTGGCTCTCGGTCCACCCAAGAGATTTATTTGATGAGATAAAACATACTTGCAAATCATTATACTTAGTCATTTGGAAGTGTTGCCCTTTGGTAAAACTCACTTTTCCTCCCTTTCCTACCCAGTTCTTCTTTGGAACCCCTGCAGCTCTCCCTGATAACATGTTCACAGTGCATGAGGAAGGTAGGGCTCTGGGGCTTCCAGCAGATTGAGTCGACCATGACAGACCTGGATGCATCCTTTGGCCTGACCAGCTCCCCCATCCCAGGCTCTGAGGGGCGGCCAGAGCGCTTCCCTCTAGTGCCTGAATCTCCTCGCAGGATGATGACTCGGAGCCAGGACGCCACGTTTTCCCCAGGCTCAGAGCAGGTATGAACGTAGCGTGTTTGGGGTGACATTTGAGCAGCTCTCATGCCAAAAGTGTTGTTGGCGGCAAGTTGGAAATTAACTGAAGTGGGTAGGCTTCACTTCTAACTACATTCATCAGAATACCATGTCATATTTCTGTTCACCAGTAGAAAACTAAATGTACTCTAGAACTTTAGTATAGAACTATAATATTCTTTTTTTTTTTTTTTGGAGAGGTTTTTGCCATAAGGGCACGTGTGCTCGCCAGACAGACAGAGAGAGGCAGAGAGACAGAAAGCGAGAAATCACCCCCCAGGGGGGATGGCCACGCCACAATCCCTTCTCCTCCATTCTCCTCTTGGGATCTTGGGCACGCACGCACACGCGCCCGGCGTGAGTTTTAAGCCACTGGGTCTGGGACTCGAACTGCAGTCGACTACATGCGAGTCCTGCGACATAGCCATTACGCTAACTGCTGGTCCCATAGAACTGTAATATTCTTTGAAGAGTTTAGTTATGTAAGAAATGTGGTACTCTGAAGAATTTAGTTATGTGGGCAATTCACAGACAGTCGTGTGTTGCTTGACGACAAGGGTATGTTCTGGGAAGTGCATTGTTAGTCAGTTTTACTGTGCGAATATCATGGGGTGTACTTCCGTAAACCTAGATGGCATAGCCTGCTGCACACCTGGCTTTTACGGGGCAGCCTGTTGTTCCTAGGCTATAAACCTGTTGAGCATGCTACGCTACTGAATACAGCAGGCAATTGCTTTTTGTTTTGTTTTTAAGAATTATTTATTTAATTCCATTTGTTACTATTATTTTAAATTTGACCAGATGGACAGAGAGAGAGAGGGAAAGGAAAAAAGCAAGCTGCCAGATCTGAGACTCAAACTGCGGTCAGCCATGTGGGAATCCAGTGCCTTTAACCACCACACCACCTGCCGGCCACAGTACTGCAGGCCTTTGTGACACCATGATAAGTATTTGTCTATCTACACACTCTAAACTTTAAAAAGGTAGAATAAAAATATGGTATAAAATATAAAAAAGTGGTACAGCTCTGTAGGTCACTTGGAGCTTGCAGGACTGGAAGTCATTCTGGGTGAGTCGGTGACTGAGTGATGAGTGAACGTGAAGTGGTAGAATTTATAGACATTGTATATTTAGGATACACTAAAGTAATTCACTTCATTTTCTCAATTTTTTTTTAAGAATTGTTTTTATTTAACTTTATTATTTTATTTTAATTTGACTAGAGAGGGACAGAGCAAGAGAGAGAGAAGGAAAGTGAGAAAGCAAGCCACCAGGTCTGGGACTTGAACCACAGTTGGCCATGTGGGAATCCAGTGTCCTTAGCCACCAAGCCACTTGACAGTCCCTCCCCCCTCACCAGTGTTTTATTATGAAAAGTTTCATACATTCAGAAAAGTTTAAGGAAATGTACAATGAACACATACAGAAAGGGACCTCAAAAAGTTCATGGAAAAATATAATTAAAGGATGTTCACTTTGGAAACTACACTGCATCTATTCAGTAATAAACCTAGCTTACTGTAATTATTTTACTTTATACACTTTTTTAGTTTTAACTTTGGACTCTTGTAATGCAAAACGTAAAACAGGTGGCATGATGGTTAAGCACTGGACTCCCTTGTGGCTGACCATGGTCCAAGTCCCAGACAGACCTGGCAATTTGAAAATCATGCCAGGCACATGTGTGCCCATCTCTCTGGCGAACTCACGCACCCTGTGGCAAAAACAAAAAGAAAATAAGGTTAAAACAAACACATTGTACAACTGTACGAAAATACTTCTCATGTCCTTACTCTGTGTGCTTTTTTTTATTTTTAAATTTTAAACTCTCGATGGTCAACAGGACTGGAGTATTTTTATACTTTTTAAACTTATTTTGTTAAAAATTAAGAAACCAACACACTAACCTAAACCTACACAAGATTAGGACATCCTGATCATGGTTTAATGCCACGATCCTCCCACCAGCCATCCCAACTATCCAGAATCATAGGCATATGTGTGTACGCTTGGTCTGTCCAGGTCAGCAGGGGAGCTAAATCTCTGATCTTCCACCTGCATGGAGCAGCATGGAGCAGCACACCACTGTGGTGGGTCCATCTAGTGTGTTCTTTTTTTTTAAGAGAGATTTTTGCTATAGGGCTCATGCAATTGTTGGAGACACAGAGACCGAAAGAAATGCCCAGAGAGGATGGCCATGCTGCAATACTTTCTCCTCTTGGGATTTTGGGCATGCACACATACGCATCATGAGTTTCAAGCGACTGGGTCCAGAACTTAGACCGCAGTCAACCATGTGGGAGTCCGACGGCTTAGCCACTATGCCACCTGCTGGCCCATCCATCGTGATCTTATGGGACCACCTGTGTACTTGCTGTCCATTGTTGACTGGATTGTGCGCTAGGTTTAAGTGATAAAGTACTAGCTTTCACGTGCTTCTGGAAATACTTCTAACCCTAATCATTAATATCATTTCTGCCCTTCCACTCTCCTTCTTCGTTCAGGCTGAAAAAAGCCCAGGTCCCATTGTCTCCCGAACTCGGAGCTGGGACTCTTCCAGTCCTGTTGACCGTCCAGAGCTGGAGACGGCTAGCCCCACAACCAGAACCCGACCGGTGACCCGAAGCATGGGAACAGGGGATACCAGTGGCCTGGAAGTACCTTCTAGCCCTCTTCGGAAAGCCAAACGAGCTCGCCTGTGCTCTTCCAGCAGCTCGGTGAGTTCACCTGTGCAGGTAGGAGTTGTCGAACACCAGCAGCGTGCTGCGCCCTCACTGTGCAGCACGGGGGAGCAGCCTGGGCCCTCCTGCCATCCTGTGGCTAAAATTAGACCATGTGAGTACATTGAAAGATGGGAAAATTAGGTGACCAAAGGGACCAAGTGAAAGAGATTGTTATTTATTCCTTTGGGGTGGATTCTGGAGAGGGAATAAATATTTCAGCCAGTAGGACAGCACTAAGATAGGGGGCAAGCCTGGGTAGGTAGTTTCTTTCACATAAAAGGAGTAGAAGGATAAAGAAAATGAGAGCAAACTACAGAGGCAGCATTTAAAGGAGAAGTGTGGGCAGTTTTGAGATTTTGGACTTAATGACTAACAATACCTCCTAGAATTTACATAGCCTTTGCCCTTCATTAATACCATTTCTTTTCCTCTGCCCTCAGGACACATTTTCTCGAAGCTTCTTTGATCCCATCTCTCAGCATAGAGACTGGTGCCCTTGGGTGAATATCAGTCTTGGCAAAGAAACCAGGGAGAATGGTGGAACTGAACTTGCTGCCAGCACCCCAGCAGAGGCGGGCTGGAAGGCAGTGCTGACCGTCCTGCTGGCCCACAAGCAGTCTCACCAGCCCGTGGAGACAGACTCCATGGTGAGAGGCACCATTGCCTGCATCTGTGCAGCACTTGCCGTGTCTGGGAGGAGGAACAGAGGTTGGCCCTGGAGCTGGCACCCTGTCTGCCCTCGCTTGCATAAGTCCAGTTAGTCTCATTCTAGTTTTCCCAGAGATCAAGCCTAGAACTGGTTCGGTCTTTTTGCAGCTTAGCATATGGCATTCCATCAGAGTCTGATCAATTCTTGGTTCTCCCAACTAAAATGACTCAAAGTAGAAAAGAACTGAAACAGAAATAGGCGACCAGGCAGCTGGTCCAGCCTCGTGTTACAGAACAGCTGCCTTTGCCCTCAGTGGCTGTCTCTTGTGATTAGAGCCCAGCCAGTTCACTTAGCTTTTGGCAGGCCTGAGCGCTGACACCAAGAGGATGACTTCATTTCTCAGGTTGGGCTCCAGCCCTCCACTGGCCGTCGCAGTCGTGACTGCCATCAGTTACAAATGTGGCTAACAGCAGAAGCCACCATGACAACTGAGAAGGCAAGCCAAGTGTTTGTCCTGTGTCAAAGAGGAAAGCAAGAGGAGGGCGGGCATTATGGAACTGTAAAAACAGATCTGCCTGTCGCCAGGTGCAATGTAACCATTTCTGACCTGTACTCTTTAAGGACAAAGGAAAACAATACTTCCAGCAAATATTTACAAGGAGCATTCCCAGAGAGATGGTTGTCTGGGTCCCAGGATCCCACTGGAAGGAGCCGTAGTCATGCTAAAAGTCCAAGTGTTAGTGGTATCAGTAGAAGATGCAACTTTTTCAGATGAAAAAAAAAAAAATCTGTGCTTTTCCAATTTGGAAAACTTTTGAAAATATATAAAGCTAAGAAAAATGACCAAGCCCTCAAATTGAAGATATTAACTATATATGCACATAAGTTCTCTCTGCCTGTATCTTCAGGAAGTAGCATATTGACAGTTTTTATTAAGATTCCTCTCTGTCATTTTTTTTTTTGGAGAGATTTTCACTGTAGGGCGCGTGCACTCGCCAGACAGACAGAGAGACATAGAGACAGAAAGCGAGAAATCACCCCCCAGGGGGGATGGTCACGCCGCAATCCCTTCTCCTCCATTCTCCTCCATTCTCCTCTCGCGCCCGGCGTGAGTTTTAAGCCACCAGGTCCAGGACGTGAACCGCGGTCGACTACGTGGGAGTCCAGCGACATAGCCATTACGCTAACTGCTGGTTCCCTCTGTCATTTTCATACCTTGTCTTTGAGAAGCCTTGGAGGTTTTTTTTTTGTTTTTTTTTTTTTTTCCATAAGGTGGGTGCACTTGCAGGAGACAGAGCATGAAAGGGAAAGTGAGAAAGCACCCCCTGGGGGAGGCCAGCCACATTCCCTTCTCCATTCTCCTCTTGGGATTTTGGACATGCACACACATGCACCCAGCATGTTTCTCAGTCTGCAGGGTCAAAAACTTAAACCAAGCATTCATCCACATGGAATCCAGCCACCTTAACCTCCATACCAACTGCCGGCCCTAGTTTGTTTTTGAGAGGCTTTTGCCTTAGGGTTCGTGTGCTTTCTGGAGAGAGACACACACACACACACAAAGACAATGAGAGGAAAAGTGAGAAATCACTCTGCCAGGGAGGATAGCCACACCACAGTCCCTTCTCCATTCTTCTCCTGGGATCTTGGGCGTGCACACATGTGTGATTTTCAAGCCACTGTGTCTGGAACTCGAACCGTGGTCAGTGATGTGGGAGTCCAGCCGTGTAACCACCATGCCATCTGCTGGCCCCCCTAGTTTGTTTTTTGTAGTGGAAAAAGTTGGGCTTGTATTGGCCCTGGGTTCCAGAACATTTAAGATCCTCTTCGGTACTTTATCTTTGAACCTTCCTATGGCTGCTCGTATCTTCAGGAAGTAGCATATTGGCAGTTTTTATTAAGATTCCTCTCTGTCACTGCTTTGCTGGAAGGTACAAAGCTTAATGAGGCTGTGGTAGAGGACCTTGATGATAGACTTTATAGTATTTTTTCTGTTTATATTTATTTCAACTTTATTTGCCACTATATTCACTAAATGCCCTACAGTCATTAGTAAGAACTTGAAACTTTAGCTCCTAGGACTTTATTTTATTGAAACATTCATCTATAAAGAGGATAAGAAAGCAGTGAAAATGGGGCCAGTGATGGTGTGGTGGTTAAGGCACTGGATCTCACATAGCCATCTCCACAGTTCAAGTCCTGGGCCTGGCAACCTGAAAATCATGCAAGGTGCATGTGCATATGTGTCCAAAATCCAAGAGGAGAAGGGACTGCAGCGTGCCCATCCCCCCGGAAGTGATTTCTCACTTTCCCTCTATTGCTCTGTCTCTTTGGGAAGCACACGTGCCTATAACAAAAACTTTAAAAAAAGGAAGCAGTGAAAATGTCTCTCTCTTTTTTTTTTTTTTTTGAGAGTTTTTTTTGCTATAGGGTACACACGCTCGCCAGAAAGACAGAGAGACAGGCAGAAAGCGAAAAATCACCCCCCAGCGGGGATGGCCACACTGCAATCCCTTCTCCTCCATTCTCTCAGGATCTTGGGCACACATGCATGTTCCTGGTATGAGTTTAAGCCACTGGGTCCGGGACTCAAACCACGGTCGACTATATGGGAATCCAGTGACATAGCCATTACGCTAACTGCTAGTCCAAAAATGTCCTCTTATATCAGAAACAAGGGAACTTTAGGTGTCACCTTGCTCGATACTCTTTGTGCTGTCACTGAGATTCTTTCTGTGAGGAATATGTGCTCTTGACTGTGACACTCAAAGGCGGAGAGGACTGAGTGTTCTGACTCACGGAGCATGTTTATCTTCCCTTTAGCACCGTGTCTCAGCATCCCAGGGCACTCATTGGCATGATCAAGTGACAATGCGATTCTTCCTATTATTAGCTCTGCCCGCTACAATGTAGGCTGAGAAGGCCAAGGTCATAGTTGAAACTTGGGGGTTGTTCAGCTTCTCTTCCTTGGCCTTGGATTACTCTGCTAACCCTGGCTAGGCAGCACATAATTGTGAATCCTTATTCACAAGGAATAATGAACCAGGGCCAGTTGAGCATCAAGAAAGAAGAGCTAGTGCAGTATGTGTGCGGCTCTAAGAGTGAGTCGGGGCCAGCAAGTGGCATGGTAGTTAAGGCACTGGATCCCACATGGCCAACTACACAGTCCAAGTTCTGGACCCAGCAGCTTGAAAAATACACCAAGATATGTGTGCACGCCCAAAATCCCTAAAGAGGAATGAAGGAGAAGGGATTGTGGTGTGGCCATCCCCCCGGGCAGTGATTGCTCACTCTACCCTACGTGGCCCCTCTGCCCCATCTCTGGTAAGCACACACACACCCTATGGCAAAAAAAAAGAGTGAGTCACAGGGGCTGACAGGTAGCATGTGATTAAGGGTGCTAGACTCCACATGGCCAGTCACGGGCCAATCCCAGACCTGGTGGCTTGCTTTCTCACTGTCCTCCTCTCCTCTCCTCTCCTCTCCTCTCCCCCCCCACCCCACCCCACCTCCGGCTTCATCCCTCTCTGGTCAAATTAAAATAAATAAAGAGTCCAGCAGCTGGCGTAATGGCTATGTCGCTGGACTCCCATGTACCGACAAAGGTTCGAGTCCCAGACCTGGTGACTTAAACTCACGCCAGGTGTGTGTGTGTGCATACTCAAGATCCCAAGAGGAGAATGGAGGAGAAGGGATTGCGGCGTGGCCATCCCCCCTAGGGGGTGATTTCTCGCTTTCTGTCTCTCTCTTTCTGGCGAGTGCATGCGCCCTATAGCAAAAACCTCTCCAAATAATAAAGTAAAATAAAATAATTCTTAAAAAAAAAATGAGTGAGTCAGAAGTGTCATCGCCACATACGAGGTCAGACACAGACACTGGGAGGGAGGTACAAAGCAGGTTTTAGAGGCTCAGGGCTTGTTAGCAGCAGTCTGACAGCACATGCTTTTTGGTTTGTAGTCTAACTTTAGGCATAGTTATTCACAGCATGGTAGAAACTGAATTTTTACCTAATCCTACTGTGTCTAGATCATTGTGGAGAAATTTATAGTGCAAGCCCTAAAGCCATTACCTATCTTTGTCTTTGTTAAACAATTTAATGATAAGCTTTTCTACCTACAGAGTCTCTCTGAGAAGTCAAGGAAAGTATTCCGAATATTCCGGCAGTGGGAATCTTTATGCTCACCCTGAAGACCTCCAACCCTTTCCTGGAAAGAAATGGCACAAGAGTGACTTGTTGGCAAATAAAGTCTGAATTCCTTTTGGCCAGCTGATCGAAAGTTTTCTCCATCCTGGTTTAATCATAAGAAGACCCTGGTGTTGCTAAGCAGTGAGTGCCCGCCCTCCCTCTGTATTTGACCGAGAGGAGACCGTTTCCGGGTTGGGATGTGAACAGTGAGGCACAACAAGCCTGGTTCTGTTAAAGGAGTGCAGGGTTGTGAAACCAAACGGAGGACCAAGGACTTGAGCACGCATTTCAGTGTCATTAGCGTGAGGCCATGTTCAGAGGGCACTTCTATCCCAGTTGTATTAACAGATGTGTTAATAAATATTTGCTAAGATTCTTACTGCTGGACTACCGTTTTTCCTCTTGCCTTGTGGGCTAGAGAAGACTTTAGTGGAATAGTCAACAAAGTCAAACTGATTTTCAGGTTGGCTGCAAAGATTTATTTGTGATTCTAGTCAGAGACGAGATGATTTCGTCATGTCACCAGGAGATGTCCAGCTGTGCTCCAGTGAGTGGTAACTTGGTTATCTTCTCCTCACTTTGATAATACAGTAGGAGGAGAACGGAGCAGCAGAAGGAAAGCACTGCAGGAGAGACCTCCTCCTCGCATGGCTTCTAATGCCCGGCTCTCTGACTGGGGCTCCCCAAGGCTCTTTCACTGCTTGGGGAGGCGTCTTCAGTCTGTTGTAGAGAAGATTGACCTGAACCTGACTCATCTAAATGTGACTGCCCACTGACAAAGGATCACGATCTATTAAGGCTAGAAACTGACTATTCTGCTAATTGCGGTTGGTTGGTTTTATAACTCACTTTTTTTTAAAGTTGATTTATTGCTTCCAGGAGTGAGAGAGACCACACCCCCAATGGGGTCTTGAGGCCATGGGAAAACCCTAGCCTCTGCCAGCCCCAGATCATGGGCACACGTGTGCCCAACACGCTCAGGGCAGTCCCCAGACATGAACCCTAAACCTTTCCCAGTAGGTTAGTCTCAGAGCATTGTGTTTTACCACTGCGTCAATGGCTGGACTCTTAGAACTCACTTTTATACTGAAGTATTAAAAAAAAAAAAAAAAACACTTGGAACTAGCAGATGGTATTATGGTTACATCGCTGGAGTCCCATGTAGTCAACCACAGTTCAAGTCTCAGACCTAGGGGCTTAAAACATGCCAGGCATTTGTGCATGTGTGCCCAAAATCCTGAAGAGGAGAAGGGATTGAGGTGTGGCCATCCCCCCTGGGGAGTGATTTCTCACTTTTTGTCTCTCCAGTGAGCACACTTAAAAAATAGAACTTTTGGGGCCAGAAGGTGGCATGGTGGTTAAGTGCACTGGACTCCCACATGGTCGACTGCGGTTCGAGTCCCAGACCTGGTGGCTTGCTTTCTCCCTTTCTCTCTCCCTGTATCTCTCTCTGGGCAAATTAAAATAAATAAGTAAAGTTAAATAAAGTAATTCTTTAAAAAAAAAAAAAAAAAGAACTTTTTCCTTACATATTACATCTCCCCAAAATTAATAGTCCCTAAATATCATTTAATACTCAGTCTATATTCAAAATTCCTAATTGTTCCAAATATGTTTTTTACATATGATTTGTCCAAGTCAGGATCCAATTCAAGGTCATAGACTATGTAACTCATTAAAGGACATGCGTGCCAGATTTTAGTTTTTCTAATTTCCAGAGAGTGCACTCATTAGAGATACAGAGAGACCAAGGAGAGAAAAGAGGCCCCCTCATTGGAGCCTGGTTACACTGCAATCCCTTCTCCCCCATTTCTTCATCCTTGTGGGATCTGGGACACATACGCACACATGCCCAGCATGTTTCTCAAGCCAGCAACGCCAGGATTCAAACTGTAGTTGACATGTGGGATCCAGCTCCCTTAACCACTAGCCTATAAGGCCAGCCCCATGCATGCCAGATTTTAAATTTGTAATTTTTAATCCTGATGTTTAACAGAGTACATAGTTAATAGCTCTTCTAAATCAACCCTCTCAGTGAGTGAAACCAGCACCTGGCACATGCTACACCCTTAACAGGGGAGGGACATTTGGGGCCCAGGATCATGGTGAGCAGGTGAGTACAGGATACATTCCGGAAACAGCAGGTATTCTTTGTTCATCTAGAATATCCCATCACTGTCAGAAAGTATGTGGGCCCAACCATGGTGGCACAGGCAGTAGGGTGTCACTGCATAATGCTGGGGTCATGTGACCTGAACATGCCAGGCATGCACACACCTAAGTTCCTGGCTCGGTGGGAGACTGGGGGGAGGACTGCAGTGCGGCAAGAATCTGGCAGGTGTCTTTGACTCTCTTTCATGTGAAACAATAAATATACTTTTTTTTTTTCCCTATGGGGGTGTGTGCTTGTTGGAGACAGACAGAGACAGAGAGAAAGAGGAAAAGTAAGAAAGCCCTCTCCAGGGGAACGGCCACACCACGATCCCTTATCTTCCATTCTCCTCTCGGGAATTTGGGCACTCACAGACACCTATGAATAACCTTCACAGTCTTCCTACACACAAATGTCATTCCCCTGAACAACAAATTCTTGTTCTAGATGGGGTCGAGCTCGAGTGTCCTTTCCCAAAGCTTCTCTTCCACACCAGACATTTCTTCAACCCCAGGCTCTTTTTCATTTGTCTTGTGGTTCATTCCTGTAGAAGTTTTTGGTTTGGCCTTTCTAGGGACTTATTCTTCCTGATTTGAGTATTTGATTTTTTTTTTTTTTTGGTCGATCCTTTAAGAAGATAGTGGCTATTTTTTATTTTATTTTATTTACTTATTTATTTATTTTTGCTATTTTACTATCTACAAAGGTAGGACTATAACTCAGCATTCTTTTTTAATTTTTTTTTTACATAAATTAACCCATTTATTGTAGGCTAGTGATATTCCAAATGTCTATGGAGCTTCTTTGAATCCCTTCAGTCTTCTGATGGCAGACTTTGCTGTGACAGCCGAAGTGGTGTCGTAGGTCCAGGCACCCCTGGCTATGGTTTCCATGCTGGAACCACAGCGCCAGATCCCCACAGCCCGTCTCTTCATCTTAGAAGAGGATGGAGCAAGTGCACTTGGTGTGCTGGCTGATTTCAATTGTCTTCACCATTTCGGGGGCCCCGTATTTACAGATGATGCCAACCTTCTTGGTGCGTTTAGCCATATCACCCACCGCCAACTAGGTCCAAGCCCAGAGAGGAAGGTTTTTTTTGTTTTTTTTGAGAGATTTTTTGCTATAGGGCATGTGCGCTCGCCAGACAGACAGAGACAGAGAGAAAGCGAGAAATCACCCCCCAGAGGGGATGGCCACGCCGCAAGCCCTTCTCCCCCCTCCTCTTGGGATCTTGGGCACGCACGCACACACTCCTGGCCTGAGTTTAAGCCACCGGGTCCAGGACTCGAACCATGGTTGACTACGTGGGAGTCCAGCAACATAGCCATTACGGTAACTGCTGGTCCCTTTTTATTTTTTTTTTTTTAAGAATGATTTAGTGGAACAAGCAGATGGCATAATGGTTATGTTGCTGGACTCCTACATAGTTGGTTGTGGTTCAAGTCCCAGACCTGGCAGCTTAAAACATGCCGACACGTGTGGTGAGTGCCTAAAATCCCAGGAGAATGGAGAATAAGGGATTGCAGCATGGCCATTTCCCCCAGGGGGTGATTTCTCTCTTTCTATCTCTCTGTCTCTCTAGCAATTGCAGGTGTCCTATAGCAAAAATCTCTCTTAAAAAAATCATTTATTTAATTTGATTTATTACTATTTAAATTTAACCAGAAAGAGAGATAGGGAAAGGAAGAAAGCAAGCCACCAGTCAAGGACTGAAACCACGGTTGGTCATGTGGGAGTCCAGTGCCCTAACCACAATGCCAGCCCATCAGTCATTGTTCTAAGATGTTCTTGTGATCAAGATAGGTGGTAACATCTTGAAGAACCCCTGCTATTCCAGATTATTCAACCCCTTTATTTGGCCATTCTTCCCACACTTCATGTGTTCTTTTCAGAAGTTTCCACCACGAAGGCCTCGAGTATTCTGTTTTAACAAAAGTTGCATTTCCCATCCAAGCAGGTTTTACAGAGAGGAAAACTGAAGCTTGAAGACATTTAGTAACTGGCTCTGTCACGTGGGTAGGATGCAGTGTACAACTATTTACTAACTGTGCTTAATCAATCTTTCCCAGCCTTCTGTTCTTTCCAGTATAATACAGCTGTGATTCTATGCTATTCCTTTTCCAAGCCTAAAATTGAGATGTGCCTCTCACTGTAAAGAGTAAATCTTGGGAACCAGCAGTTAGCGTAATGACTGTGTCGCTGGACTCCCACGTAGTCGACCGCGGTTTGCATCCTGGACCTTGTGGCTTAAGACTCACGCCGAGCGCATGTCCGTGTGTGCCAGGGATCCCAAGAGGAGAATGGAGGAGAGGGGATTGCGGCATGGCCATCCCCCCTGGGGGGTGATTTCTCACTTTCTGTTTCTATGTTTCTCTCTGTCTGCCGAGCACACCCGCCCTATAGTGGGAAAAAAAAAAAAAAAAAACCTCTCCAAAAAAAAGAGTAGATCTTGTGGGGCCAGCAGGGGGCATAGTGGTTAAGGCATTCCCACATGGCTGACTGTGGTTCAAGTCCCAGACCTGGCAGCTTGAGAATCACACAGGGCACTTGTGGGTACATGCCCACAATCCCAGGAGGAAAAGAGGAGATGGGATTGCAGTGGTTATCCCTCCTGGGAGGTGATGTCTCACTTTCCCTCTCACTGTCTCTGTCTCTCTCTCCAGTGAGCACATTCACCCTAAAACCTTAAAAAAAAAAAAGAAAAAAGAAAAAGTAGTGTCTTGTAACCCCTCCTGGGACATTAGTATCCAGATAGGAGACATTTTCCTGGCTCTTTGTAGATTTTAGCCAACTTCTTTAGGGCTTTCCTCATTTCTTTCTTACACCCTTAAAGCCAATTGTGGCTGCCTCAGAGCCAGCTTTAGATCCCTCCCACCGTTTTCCAGCTTAGCAACAAAAATAGCTGCATGTACAGCTTGACCCACAACAAACCTACGATCACTTCCTCCTCCTCAGTTTTCCTTTCTATTTTTAGCTTTATTCCTATTCTCAGCTTTCTTTGGCTTTATATAGCTGTTCTCTGGGCTGGCTGACCTGCGCTTTCCAAAATGAATGCTGCGGATGAGCCCTTTAGTAGAGTCCATTCAGTTCATCTTTTCTTCCCTTTTAAGATTTGCTATAGGGAAGCGAGCTCCTCAAGGGTGGTAGGGAGTATAAAAGCACCTCCCGGGGGTTTGGCCGTGCCATAATTCCTTCTCCTCTAGGGTTTTGGGCATGCACATTACCTA